AAGAAAGAGATTGCCCATCCAAAGCAATATCAAAACCCAGCAGGATAAATTTTATTTCAAGGCCTGAGAACAATGCTCTGTAGTTTGAGGTTTCAACCTTCTAACACCCTGACTCCAGCCTCTTCCAGAGTGATGTTTTCCATTCCCTCTTTTAATTGGTAATGCAAATCTTCCCTGTTGCATTATGAAAACTGTGCCATGACGAGAAGCTGTGAGTCATGTCGGTTACATCCCCGGGGCAGGGCCCAAACACTTGAAGCATCACCTGCTGCCTCTCAGTGATGCATTTGCAGGAAGCTGGATTAGAAGCAGAGTGGCACAGACTTGAACTGTAATCCAATATGGGGTGCAGGTGCTTCAAGCAGTGGCTTAACCTGCTGTGCCACAACAGCCGTCCCTATACATTTTTTGATTAACATATAATAAATAATAGTACATCTTTATGGGCTATAATATGATAATTCAAGACACTGATTAAATCATATAAGTAACATTTCCGTCTTATCATTTACTTATATTTGGAACCTTTAATCTCCTCTGTCCTCTCTTCTAGTTCTTCATAAAATATATGAAGACATTTCAAAAAGTTTGTGAAAAATCAAATTAAGTGATCAGCTTGTTTTGTTGTAAAGTTTTGAAATTCACGCATAGTTTTTTCATAGTACACATTTTCCATGAACTTTTTGAAGACCCCTCCTATAATGTATTATTGAGAACTATAGCCACCTCACTAGGATGTGAACACTAGAACATATTTCTTCTATGTAACCATATTTGAGCCAAGTTCTTTTCAAAATTTTTCTTGAACCTTATTTATTGTCACTTTATTTCACTTTATTTGAAAAGTACACACACACACACACACACACATATACAGAGAGAGAGAGAGAGAGAGAGAAATCTTCTTGCACTTCCTATTCTATCCAGGCTCTGGCTGGTTTGATAGTACTTTCCCCAAGACACACTCAGGGTATGAGAGACACACTGCACTTTACCAATTCTTTTTTAAGATTTATTTATTTATTTGAAAGTCAGAGTTACACAGAGAGAGGAGAGGCAGAGAGAGAGAGAGGGAGGTCTTCCATCTGCTGGTTCACTCCCCAATTGGCCGCATCGGCCGGAGCTGTACCGATCCAAAGGAGCCAGGAGCTTCTTCCAGGTCTCTCATGTGGATGCAGGGGCCCAAGGACCTGGGCCATCTTCTACTGCTTTCTTGGGTGCATTAGCAGAGAGCTGGAATGGAAGTGGAGCAGCTGGGACTTATATGGGATGCTGGCCCTGCAGGTGGCGGCCTTACCCACTAAGCCACAGTGCCAACCCCTACCAATTCTTTTTAAAAAAGATTTATTTTATTCATTTGAAAGGCACAGTGACAGAGAGAGAGACACACACACACAGATATCTTCCACCCAGTGTTTCACTTTCTAAAAGGCCACAAAGACCAGGGTTGGGACTGAGCTGGGGTAGGGCCAAGTCAGGAGCCCAAAACTCCATCCAGGTCTCCCACTGGGGTGGTAGGGGCCCAAGTACCAGCACATTAAAAGGAATACTGGATCAGAAGTGGAGGAACCAAGACTCGAATTTGTTCTTTGGAACACTTCACTGGGCAAAAACAAAATGCATGTTCTTGTTAAATGTGCGTGGATCACGCTTTGGGAAAGGCCACTATGATCATCAGGCACAATAGGATCAAAGTTGAACTCCACCACAGAAGGACATTTGGGAAACTCACAAATACTTGAAAATGAAACAGTGTGCTTCCAAATAACAACCAGAGTCAAGAAGAACTCACAAGGGAAGTTAGAAAACACTTTCAGAGGGATGAAAATGAAAACACACTATACTGACACTTACGGAATGCAGCAAAGTAGTGTTAATGAGACTGAGTGAATAGAAATGGAAAATCCCTCTGGAATTTTTTTTTTAAATCAGTCAGTCCTATAACTTGTAGCTTGTAGAACTTGTTTACCCCTGAGAAGGAAACTATGATTGGTGAAGGCAAAGGCAGAGCAGTGATGTGCCATGTGTGTTTACATACAGTTTGCATCCTGAAGTCACTTTTATTTCTATGGACAAATTGAGGACCGCTGTGCTTGTGGAGTTGACAGAATGATCAGAACTGCTTCTCTAACCATGGCCCAGGGCCTCAGAATCCTGGTATTCAGTGATCTTGTGTGATGGTCTTCCCTTGATGGTGGGCTGAACATAAATGTATTGCTTCTAAAACACAAATGTTGCAGAATTATTGGGTTATTAATTCCAACTCTGGGTTACAAAAAGACTATACTTTCTCTTGGTGCCTCCCCCCCACCCCTCAGATGTGATATGAGCAGCGCAGGAAAGACCCGCAGGAAGAAATCAATCTTGCCAAAACCAAGTTGAATGAGCTCAGAAGTGGATTCTCTGATTCCAATGGGAGCTTGAGATGGGAGCCCTCTGAGCCAGCGCTTGGTCGTACCCTGAGCCAGAAACGTCCAGACTCCTGAGCAAAGACACTGCAGGGTAATGAACTTTCTTTTGGGATAATTGTTACGCAGCAGTAGATAACTAATTCAGAGGGTTTGTAACTGCATAAGCAATGTGAAATTCCCCTATTGTTTGCATCGAGAAATATACATATCCTCTCCCCAGCCCACTTCTTTATTTACTTCTTCCATCATGTACTGATTCCACAGTGGTGAATGCATTTACATATTTTTCTCATTTCTCAATGGATATGAGTTTAAATTTTTTAAAGATTTATTTTATTTATTTGAAAGAGTTATAGAGAGAAGTTGAGAGAGAGAGAGAGAGGTCTTCCATCCACTGGTTCACCCCCAGATGGCTACAATGGCTCGAGCTGTGCCGATCCGAAGTCAGGAGCCAGGAGCTTCTTTCGGGTCTCCCATGTGGGTGCAGGGGCCCAAGGACTTGGGCCATCTTCTACTGCTTTCCCAGGCCATAGCAGAGAGCTGGATGGGAAGAGGATCAGCCAGGACTAGAACCAGTGCCCATATGGGATGCCAGTGCTTCAGGCCAGGGCTTTAACCCGCTGCACCACAGTGCCAGCCCCAAGTTTGAATCTTAACCTTGGGGCATTCACAAGTAACCATCTCTTTTGTAGTCAATAAAAGCCCCCAATTAATCCTACCTTTCAAAATCTCTCAGGACCCTTTAGTCCATCTCCCCTTTTTATCCAGGACTTCTCACATAAGTTTCACAGTGTCTTGCAAAATCTGCGGTGTTTATTTCTGCATGATTCTATAATTTTTTTTGAAAAATGCTTTATTTATTTGAAAGGGGGGAGAGAGAGAGAGAAAGAGAGGAGAGAGAGAGAGAGAGAGAGAGAGAGAGAGAAAATTTCCATCTGCTGGTTCATTCCTTAAATGCCTGCAACTACTGGGACTCTGTCATGATAAAGCCAGGAACGAGGAACTCCATCCTGGCCTCCCAGGATGTCAGGGGCCTATGTACTTGGGCCGTGTTCAACTGCTTCCCAAGACATATTAGCGGGTAGCTGGATCAGAAGTGGAGCAGCTGGGACTCCAGCACTCTGATGTGGAATGTGAGTGTCACAGGTGGCAGCTTAATCTACTGTGCCACACTGATGGCCCAGGGGCTTTGAGCTTTCTAATTCACTTAGTGTTTCCCAAATGTTAATTTAAGTTAGTGCGTGGGAAAATTTTGAAAAATAACCACAAGTAGAGTTGGTGCATTTTAGAACATTTCCCATTGTGTCATAGATGTTATTGATTGTAATATACATTTTATTCTGGAGCACATTATTTAAGTTAAAAAGATAGTACTTGTATATTACAACAAATACACTTACTAGGTGTTAACAATAGGGGAAACTGGGTATAGGGTATATGGGAACTCTGTACTACATTACAAGTTTTGTTTTGTAAATTTCAAACTATCCTTAAATAAAAGGTTTTTAAAGAGAAAATCTTAAAGAGTTACATGGTAAGACTGCAGATGTGGTACCATTTGTTATGCTGGAATGCAAATAACCAGACGTTGGACACTCTGCTTTGGGGAATAATGAGCAAGTAACATATTTTAGGCAGGCAGTCCCAGTGTTTGGTTTGCCTGCCTCTCATACAACTTCAGTAAATGTGTGAAGATGGTTTGCGATAGGAAGAGCTCAAAGCAACTATGGCCACCTAAAAACCCTTTGCAACTGAGGAGGGTAGAGTATTGGGTGCCTGAGAGAGAAAGGAATGGAAGAAAAAGATACTAATGGAAAAAGAAAGAAAAAAAGTAGGATATGATGAACACTTGGGGGTGCATTTTGATGGAGAAGAGGGGAATTTAGAGTATGCGTGTGGAGATGAGGAAACTCATTTGGAGTAAGAAATATTGTTAGGTGGTAGCAGATTTTTGTTATTGATATTCCATTAAAGTTTGGACCAAATTAGAAGAACTTCAAATATTGCCCGTCCACCTGACCAACCCCATTCCTTTTTTTTTTTTTTTTTTTTGACAGGCAGAGTGGACAGTGAGAGAGAGAGACAGAGAAAGGTCTTCCTTTTGCCATTGGCTCACCTTCCAATGGCCACCATGGCTGGCGCGCTGCAGCTGGCGCGCTGTGGCCGGCGCACCGCGCTGATCTGAAGGCAGGAGCCAGGTGCTTCTCCTGGTTTCCCATGGGGTGCAGGGCCCAAGCACTTGGGCCATCCTCCACTGCACTCCTGGGCCACAGCAGAGAGCTGGCCTGGAAGAGGGGCAACCGGGACAGAATCCGGCGCCCCAACCGGGACTAGAACCGGGTGTGACGGCGCCGCAGGCGGAGGATTAGCCTATTGAGCCGCGGCGCTGGCCCCCATTCCCTTCGAACCTTACTTTTAGGTTTTAGTTGAGTGGGACATTTTGGAATGTTCAGTTATGTATTTCTGAGTTTAGCTTCCTGAGAGTAAGCACTTAGTTCATGGCCACATTTCACTGTGTGACTTTATTCAAGAAAAGTGGGAGAGTTGTCTGTGGGAGGTGATAAATACTGCTCTTTCAACTGAGATTCTGCCCCCTAGAAAGGGAGAAGTCTAAAGACTGAATTCCCCAAAGTCACTGGCAGTGGATGAATCCAGATTGCTAAGAGAACAGCCCAGGTCCACAAAGCTCAGAGCATTTATTATGAATAATTTCCTTTCATCACAGGTACATGGGAAAACTTTGCATTAATGAAGAATATAGGATTATCTCTTTTTTTTGGGGGGGGGGTACATGATAATGTAGGAACTTTGTGTAGACGTGGCCGCTCCAAAAATGGCACTATGTGGTGCTAAACTCAACGTCATCATATCCAGGACTTCTTGCCGCAGGACCAATGAGGATCCCATCTCCCATGCTGGAGCTGGCAGCTTCCCTAGCAGGCTGGAGAGAGACCCCTGCAACGGTAAGGAGAATCATAGCTTCATCTGTGACAACAGGACAGTAAGGAGTCTTCCAGGGGAAGGAAAGAACAGTCCAGAGCGGCTACAAAATATTTGTGGGGATCCAGAGCTTGTCTGAAAGGCCACACAGAACTACTGCCAACTGATTCTGCTCTGTGCAAGGCTTTGCCTTTTTTTTTTTTAAATTATTTTATGTATTTGAAAGATAGAGTTACAGAGAGAGGTAGAGTCAGAGAGAAAGGTCTTCCATTCTGCTGGTTCACTCCCTAAATGACCACAAAGGCCAGAGCAGAGCTGATCCGAAGCCAGGAGCCAGGAGTGTCTTCAAGGTATCCCACGTGGGTGCAGGGGCCCAAGGGCTTGGGCCATTTTCTACTGCTTTCCCAGGCACATTAGCAGGGAGCTGGATGGGAAGAGGAGCAGCTGGGTCTTGAACCGGTGCCCACATGGGATGCCAGCACAACAGTCTGGGGCTTTAGGCTCCTGCGCCACAGCGCTGGCCCCTGAAAAGCTTTGTCTTAATCTTGACAATTGGAAAGCAGATGGATCAATAATGGCCAGGAGTGGGGAAGATACCTGAACACTGATTTCTTAAGGGTGGAGGCAGGGCAAGAACTCTTTATATTCTTCAGGACCTTGATAACAGATCAAGATTGACCACAAAATTTTCATGAAACAACACAGGATTTTGTTGTACAGCAGCTTAAACAAACCCTGTAGTCTCTGTTCCCCATAGACTACACACCAATGTATAAGCACATTGAAACAATGACAGAAAATTCTTCTAATCATAAGATTTATATGAGGGTACTTCAAAAAGCTCATGGAAAATGAAATCTACAAAGGTTATTTTGGGGCAAAATTTTTTTTGAAATGAATGCAGTTTTTCATCATGCATATTTGCCATGAACTCTTTCAAGACCTTGCATGCATGTACGTGCAAAGATTTTGCACAAAATGAACTAATCTTTTAATTTCATTTTCCATGAAATTTTTGGAGTATTTTTTTTGACAGGCAGAGTGGACAGTGAGAGAGGGACAGAGAGAAAGGTCTTCCTTTACTGTTGGTTCACCCTCCAATGGCCACTGCAGCCGGTGCGCTGCGGCCGATGCACTGCGCCAATCTGAAGCCCGGAGCCAGGTGCTTCTCCTGGTCTCCCATGCGGGTGCAGGGCCCAAGGACTTGGGCCATCTTCCACTGCACTCCCAGGCCACAGCAGAGGGCTGGACTGGAAGAGGGGCAACCGGTACAGAATCCGGTGTCCTGACCAGGACTAGAATCTGGTGTGCCGGTGCCGCAGGCAGAGGATGAGTCTATTGAGCCGTGATGCCGGCCTGGAGTATGTTTAAATGATTCTCTACTTGAGGTCACTGCATATTCTGCATTAGCAGTGGGCAATGTAAGCTTCAAATATTTAGTTACTTGGTTCCCTCCATAGGAATTTTTATAACTCATTGATTTAACTCACCCTGGTAGTAAAAAAACTTTTCAGATTACCTAGTACAATATGGAAGAGCCCTTAATTTATTGTTAGAACAAGTGTCTCAGCTCGGGGTGTGAGAAATGGGAATAAAGCTACAGAACCTCTGTAATTCATACATTAAATGAACGGTGGACAAGGACACAGAGAACGCAAATGTTTTTCTCCTTTCAGAAGAAGAAATCAACCAGTAACAGGGAGAGATGATCTCACACGGGTACACAAGGCTATCTAGAGTCTGATAGTAAAATAAGAAAAACCTGAGAAAACTCATCTTTCCTGCGACAAGGAAGTAAGGGCACTTGCCTGTCTAGCTGTCCACTTACCTGTCTGGGAATACCTGGCTTCATCCCCCTCCTCCGGGCAAAAATGCTGCTCACTCATCTCAGGGGAAGAAGGAGTTTCAGGAACAGGTAACTCTTCCACATCATCATAACCATGTCTTGAAGCATCAACATGCTGTCCCGGAGGTTCTGGAAACAGACAAGGACTTGGGTGGAATAGGAAAATAGGGCTTGGACTAGGTGAGGTCCTAAGTCCCTTTGAATGCAGAGACCCTAACAGCTGATGCATCTAGGCACCCCATTCCAAGGCTGAGAATATTGATATCAACATTCTTAGAAACTCTTTAAATCCTCTAAACAATCTATTCAGCTCAATAATATTTTTCTAAAATGGCCTCTTAACCATAAAGCATCAACAAAACTACTGTGCTATGTGCATTTCAGGTACTACTTTTAGGCACATGGTACAGAATTGCAACATGCGATACATGCACATCAGTGACTGAATGAGAGAAAATCTGAACTCAGGCTCCTGGAGCTGCTGGGAGGGAAGACTGAGTTTCTACTGCCCCCAGACAGGTGACCCTATTAGTCCCAATTATAGGAGGCCTGGATTTTAATCCCCTTTAGAACCCATCTGTGGGAATCTCCACGGAGTCTTTCTGGAATGCTTTATCCCAAGAACTTCACTGCGTGGGGAAGATCCAGGGTGAACATTCTCTTCTCATAGGTCCCTTGTGAAGAAGAGCTCCTGGTGGTTGCTAAGTAGAGAAACCATGCACTCTGTATTCTTGGGATTAATCAATGTCAACTATTTTTGGCCTCTTTATTCACATAATCCACAGCATCCAAATATCACTTTATCTCAGGGTCACAACCACATTTTCCAATGTTTTCTCTCACCATGGAATTTTTGAAGTAACCAGTTTCTAATATTGTTTAAAAACATGGCCTTTGAGGCCGATGCCGTGGCTCAGTAGGTTAATCTTCTGCCTGTGGCACCGGCATCCCATATGGGCGCCAGTTCTAGTCCCAGCTGCTCCTCTTCCAGTCCAGCTCTCTGCTGTGACCTGGGAAAGCGATAGAGGATGTCCCAAGTGCTTGGGCCCCTGCACCCGCATGGGAGACTAGGCAGAAGCACCTGGCTCCTGACTTCGGATTGGCGCAGCTCCGGCCATTGCGGCCATTTGGGGAGTGAACCAATGGAAAAAAGACCTTTCTCTCTATCTCTCCCTCTCACTGTCTGTAACTCTACCTCTCAAATAAATAAATACAAAAAAATCTTTAAAAAAATGGCCTTTGGATTTATAATAACACACTTGGTGTGTGTCTGTGGCTGAGCAGAAGCAGTGTGGATAAAGGGGGAACTGAGCCTGATCCTTCCTTTTCTGAGGTTCACAGAGTGGGCAGAGAGGAAAGAATTATTGAGAACTGGAGAGAAGAGAAGCTTCCATCTCCCTCACCCCTACCATCCATGGGAAGACCTGTCTCTACTACCTGGGGTGGATTTGGATCTCCATTTTCCTCACTGTCTTCTGTGTAACACGGCAGCTGCCGAGTCACTGAATCATCACACAGGTTTCTTGGTAGGAAGAAAAACACCACAGGAAACCACAAAACCTTTTTGCACAGTGGAGGCCTGATGTCAAGGTTCAGAAAAAAATTTGAGGCTTCAGACTTGCAGAGAGAGAGGGCCTGGAGGTCTTGCCTTAGGAGGAAGTTGACCATGTGAGGCTGGGTAGTGCTCAGACTCACAGCCAGGGCATGGTCCAAGGAGGGCATGGTACATACCTGTACTGTCCAATAGGTCCTTTTCCACTGGCTTTATGAAGTCATCTATCTCTTGGTACAAGGCCTCTTCAAAAGCATTTTCAAAAGTGGATAAGGCTGGGAAAACAACATGATTTCAGAAATTTCTCTTGGAGCTATTTCCTTTACCAACAGACAGCCTTCTGTGTTCCTCAGTAGAAAACTCTCTGGGTTTAAACAGCACTCTGGCCTCAGAATCAGCCCTTAAGACATTCGGATCTGGCTAAAAAGCCCATGAGAGTTTCTTAAGCATGGAAAGCCAAGACACTGTGGCAAAAAATGACCTAAATGAAAGATCTCTGTGAGTGAGATCCCAGCAGAAAGAATGGGCCATCAAAGAAGGAGGTACCTTTCTCTGAAGGGAGGAGAGAACATCCACTTTGATTATGGCCTTGTCTAAATAAGGTTAGAATTTGTGAACTCAAGAGGCTTCCATAGCCTTGGCATAGCCTCAGGTGATTACTGATGTTATAAATAAGAGTGTCAATTGTTAAATCAACAACAGGAGTCACTGTGCAGTTACTCCCCATGTAGGATCTCTGTCCTTAATGTGTTGTACTATGTAAATTAATGGTAAAACTAGTCTTCAAACAGTACTTTATTCTTTGTGTGTCTGTGTGGATGAAATCTGTTGAAATATTTACTTAGTATACACTAAGTTGATCTTCTGTATATAAAGATAATTAAAAATGAATCTTAATGAAGAATGGGATGGGAGAGGGAGTAGGTGATGGGATGGTTTGTGGGTGGGAGGGTGGTTATGGGGGGGAAAAGCCACTATAATCCAAAAGCTGTACCTATGAAATTTATATTTATTAAATAAAAGTTTTCTAAAAAAACCTCTCTGGGCTGCTGACAGGATCCCCTTCTTTAGCTTTGTGCCCTAGTAGGGGCAGAATTAGCTGTGTTGACCCTACCTTGATTCCACAATCTCCACCGACTTTGCTAACATAAGAAGCCATAATATTTGAGTGCTTCCACATTCAACCCACGACCAAGATTCAAGTCTCTTAAATCTTAAAGTCTATAGTGGAGAAGGAAGTTTTTCCAGATAATGAGAATGAGGACTAAAACATGGGAACCTTTGAAATGATCACAACTAGCCCAATACTCTCCCAAACAACTGCAGGTCTTTCTGCATCCCTAAGCCCCACCTTGGTGCTCTGCTTTCCGTCTGTGCAGCTGAGTGCCGAGGACAATAAGTACCAGGAAGAGAAGGGCCCCCAGGACGATGCAGAGGATCCCAGGAAAGGAGAATTTGCCAGGGACAGACGCTCTGCGTGCCCTGGTGCCTGAGAAAGGAAATGGCCATGAGTCTCCAGGTAGGGTCACTAGCCCAGGAGATCCCCATTACCCCGATAATCCCCCAAGTCCTCAGGACCATGAAACAGTTCAGATGTAACAGATCTGCCTGAATCCCAAGATGTGGCCAACCAAGATCCTGCCTGAGCTCTGTCAACTGTTTTCAGTCTGGTTCCATGGATGCAGTTGAAACAACTTAATAAAGCCTCATGACTATTTACAATACCTGACCATCATGCCCACTGTCATTCTTCCAGAAATATGTGGACCCCATAGTGCAGGTCCCTGAAAATTTGAGTACCTCCCTCGTCACATGGCTCAGAGAAGAAGCAGCACTTACTTCTGGGGATGGGAGGAACTGTTGTTGTCCTTTCACCTGGAGAAAAAAGAAGGAAACTGGGATTCCTGTACTGGGTTGGCAGCCAGAAGTGATTGGATCATATCTACCGACACTGCACGTAGTTGTCCAGACACCAGGACATCAGACCACAGCCTCTCCAGAGCCAGAGCAGGGCATCAGGTCAGCCAATAAGTGCACTTGGATACAAACTCACACCACCTTCAACACTAGCCCATTCTCCTGGTCCTGCAACTCACCTGCACACCTCACGCCAGCATCTTCCTCATGCTTGCAGTCGCTCTGTCCCCAGGGAGCTGCAGCACAGGCCCACAGGGAGGACTCCCTGCCCCCGCACTGCACCTCGTCCAGCCAGATGCTTCCATTGCCGGGGCCAAATGCAGCCCCGCTCAGGGCGTCCAGGGCAGAGCCGCAGCCCAGCTGCTGACACACCACCTCAGCCTCTGCCAGGCTCCAGGAGTCGTCACACACGGTGCCCCAGGAGCCTGCGTGCCAAACCTCTACTCGTCCCGAGCATGTGCTGTCTCCGCCCCTGAGTTGAAGCTTCTCTTTGTCTGAAAAGGCAACGGTATCTCATGTTACCCCTCCTGGTCAGAGGGAAGGAGCCCTGGGGAGCCAACAGGGGAAGTGGGAGGGGCTGAGGTACCTGTACAGGGGGCAGCAGCTGGACAGCTCTTGGGCCTCATTCCTGCAGAAACAGATGAGGAGGAAGCAATGGGTCACAGGCAGCTGCGGGAAGTCCTTTCCCCAAGATGAGGCTATCTAGGGCCGTTGGCTCAGTGCACAAGACCAGTGAAAACAACGTAATTAGTCCAAGAGGCGGAGTTATGGAGGCATATAACCTCAGTGTGTCATATCCCTTATCACCCACTGGAATTAGTTGATCTGGGCACCTGCTTTCACTCTCTACATTCCCACAACAAACACAAACACAGACCCAGACCCAGACCCAGACCCAGACCCAGACCCAGACCCAGACCCAGACACAGACATGCACGAATAGATGTGCACTGACAAACACAGATGAATGTTCCACTGAGGGAAGGGTCTCACTTGTCTCTGTTCCCCTTCTCAGGCAGTGCCTGGCCCACTGTGTGCACTATTAAATCTGTGTTAGGAACCCCTTATGTATACTATAATAGGGGCTTGATAAATATTCATTGACTGAAGGGATAAATGGGCAAAATCTGCTGAAAAGAAATTCCTTTAAATTTTTGCTATTCAGTAAGATAATGAAGAAAATATAAATTTATGTCAGTGATTTTTGATAATAAATATTGGGCACTAAAATGTGATTAGTTCATAATCACTGAAGTAGCTTGCTCTTTCTTTCTTTCTTTCTTTCTTTCTTTCTTTCTTTCTTTCTTTCTTTCTTTCTTTCTTTTTCTTTCTTTCTTTCTCTGCCCTCTTCTTCTTCTTCCTCTTCCTCCTCCTCCTCCTCTTCTTCTTCTTCTTTTTAAAGTGTGTTTCTTTATTTGAAAGGCAGAGCATCAAAGGGAGGGAGAGACACAAAGAAAGACAGAAAATGGCTTACTAGTTCACTCCTCAAATGGCTGAAACAGTCAGAGCTAGCCCAGGCTGAAGCCAAGAACTCCATCCTGGTCTCCCATGTGGGTGCTGCTGCTTTCCCAGATGCATTAGCAGGGAACTGGATTGGAAGTGGAGCAGCCAGGACACAAACCAGTGCCCATAAGAGATTCCCGTGTTGTAGATGGTGGTTTAACCTGCTATGCCTCAATGCTGGCCTTAATCACAGAAATAATTTTCACTCAATATTTTAATTAATGCTAATTGAAGATTATAAACCACAATGATAGAACAGAAAGATTTCTTTTTTTTCATTTTCAATTGTCTTTATATACAGAAGATCGATTTAGTATATTTAAGTAAAGATTTCATCAGTTTGCACCCACACAGAAACACAAAGTGTAAAATACTGTTTCAGTACTAGTTATAGCATTACTTCGCATTGGACAACACATTAAGGGTAGATCCCATATGAGAAGTAAGTACAGTGACTCCTGTTGTTGATTTACAAATTGACACTCTTGTTTATGGTGTCAGTAATCACCCTAGGCTCTAGACATGAGTTGCCAAGGCTATGGAAGCCTTTTGAGTTTGCCGACTCTGATTGTATTTAGGCAAGGTCATAGTCAGAATGGAAATTCTCTCCTCCCTTCAGAGAAAGGTACCTCCTTCTTTGATGGCCCTGTTCTTTCCATTGGGATCTCACTCGCAGAGATCTTTCATTTAGGTTTTTTTTTTTCTTCCCAGAGTGTCTTGGCTTTCCATGGCTAAAATACTCTCATGGGATCTTCAGCCATATCCGAATACCTTAAGGGCTGATTCTGAGGCCAGAGTGCTATTTAGGACATCTGCCATTCTATGAGTCTGTTGTGTATCCCGCTTCCCATGATGGATTGTTCTCTCCCTTTTTGATTCTATCAGTTAGTATTAGCAGACACTAGTCTTGTTTGTGTGATCCCTTTGACTCTTAGATCTATCAGTGTGATCAATTGTGAACTGAAATTGATCACTTGGACTAGTGAGATGGCATTGGTACATGCCACCTTGATGGGATTGAATTGGAATCCCCTGGTATGTTTCTAACTCTACCATTTGGGGCAAGTCAGCTTGAGCATGTCCCAAATTGTACATCTCTTCCCTCTCTTATTCCCACTCTTATATTTAACAGGGATCACTTTTCAGTTAAAATTTAAACACCTAAGAATAATTGTGTGTTAATTACAGGGTTCAACCAATAGTACTAGAACAAAAAATACTAAAATAGATAAAGTATTACATTGTACATCAACAGTCAGGACAAGAGCTGATCAAGTCACTGTTTCTCATAGTGTCTATTTCACTTCAACAGGTTTCCCCTCGGTGCTCAGTTAGTTGTCGCTGATCAGGGAGAACATATGATATTTGTCCCTTTGGGACTGGCTTAATTCACTCAGCATAATGTTTTCCAGATTCCTCCATCTTGTTGCAAATGACCGGGTTTCATTGTTTTTGACTGCTGTATAGTATTCTATAGAGTACATGTCCCATAATTTCTTTATCCAGTCTACTGTTGATGGGCATTTGGGTTGGTTCCAGGTCTTAGCTATTGTGAATTGAGCTGCCATAAACATTAATGTACAGACAGCTTTTTTGTTTGCCAATTTAATTTCCTTTGGATAAATTCCAAGGAGTGGTATGGCTGGGTTGTATGGTAGGGTTATATTCAGGTTTCTGAGGAATCTCCAGACTGACTTCCATAGTGGCTTAACCAGTTTGCATTCCCACCAACAGTGGGTTAGTGTCCCTTTTTCCCCACATCCTCTCCAGCATCTATTGTTGGTGGATTTCTGAATGTGAGCCATTCTCACTGGGATGAGGTGAAACCCCATTGTGGTTTTGATTTGCATTTCCCTGATGGCTAGTGATCTTGAACATTTTTTCATGTGTCTGTTGGCCATTTGGATTTCCTCTTTTGAAAAATATCTATTCAGGTCCTTGGCCCATCTCTCTCTCTCTTTTTTTTTTTTTTTTTTTACAGGCAGAGTTGATAGTGAGAGAGAGAGAGACAGAGAGAAAGGTTTTCCTTTTTACCATTGGTTCACCCTCCAATGGCCACCGTGGCCAGTGCATCGCGAGATCCGAAGCCGGGAGCCAGGTGCTTCTCCTGGTTACCCATGCGGGTGCAGGGCCCAAGGACCTGGGCCATCATCTACTGCACTCCCGGGCCATAGCAGAGAGCTGGCTGGAAGAGGGGCAACCGGGACAGAATTCGGCGCCCCGACCAGGACTAGAACCCGGTGTGCCGGTGCCGCAAGGTGGAGGATTTGCCTATTGAGCCACGGTGCTGGCCTGGCCCATCTTTTAAGTGGGTTGTTTGTTTTGATGTTGTGGAGTTTCTTGATTTCTTTGTAGATTCTGGTTATCAATCCTTTATCTGTTGCATAGTTTGCAAATATTTTTTCCTATTCTGTCGGTTGCCTCTTCACTCTCCTGACTGTTTCTTTTGAAGTACAGAAACTTCTCAATCTGATGCAATCCCAAATGTTAATTTTTGCTTTGACTGCCTGTGCTTCTGGGGTCTTTTCCAAGAAGTCTTTGCCGGTACCTATATCTTGCAGGGTTTCGCCAATGCTCTCTAATAATTTGATGGTGTCGGGTCGTAGATTTAAGTCTTTAATCCATGTTGAGTGAATTTTTGTGTAAGGTGAAAGGTGGGGTCTTGCTTCATGATTCTGCACGTGGAAATCCAATTTTCCCAGCACCATTTATTGAATAGACTGTCCTTACTCCAGGGATTGGTTTTGGATCCTTGATCAAATATAAGTTGGCTGTAAATGTTTGGATTGATTTCAGAACAGAAAGATTTCTATTCTACAAAAGAAACAATTAGTAGGATTCAGGGAAAGATAGCTATGTAGACAAATATGTAGCTGGTAAGATAGAAGTGTCTGCCTGAGACACAAATAAACACACTGAGGAAAGAATACATTGTAACACAAGGAAGTAAAAAACATACAAAAAACAACTGAAACCAAAATAAACACACAATTACTCCGCAGAATAAACTGATCAGTATGCTAACCTACATGTACGGGTATATTTATTATATATAATATTGTTTGTACAGAGGGGAAATTGAAAACAATTGGGAAATAGGAAAATGTTCATATAAATTGTAGTACTAATTTCTTATGAATGGATTGTTTTGTAATTGTTTCAAAAATGACTTAGACTTATTTACAGGAATACCAATGTTTTATTGTTAAGTGAGAAAAGCCAATTTATTAATGATGTGTATGATACAATCCCAATGTTATCAAAACAAATGAAAAGACAACATCAAGATAAAATTTTTTATGGGTATATGAGCTTGGACATGTTTCTGCGAAAATGGAGGTCTGGAGACAGTACCTGTGCTTGCTTCTGCAGCGCATACACTAAAATTGGAAATGATTCCTGCTAGACCATTAATTTTATTTATAGCAGGGGAAAATGAATGGACAAGGGGTTGTGTGAAGTGATTAATTTCTTATGTTATATTTATATATATAATACTTACTTACAATGGGTAAATCATTTTTTAATAATGTAAGTGAAATGGTAAGGAAATGTTTTCTTTCTAAGCCTAAAACAGCTAGTGGAGGGACACAAATCCCTTATTGCTAACTATGCTACAGCTCCAGTAACAGCAAGTGTGGCCAATTCAGGAAGGGACACAGAAAGGCAGGGGTGTCAGCAGAGGTGGACTGGCCAGCCCTTTGTGCCTCCAGTGTTCCGACTAGACAGGTAGCACTGTTCACTCCCTGGGGAACCACAGAAGAGATAACTTCTTTACATTACTTACACATGACTGAGTCCAAACCTGCCTCAACATAATCACCATCATCAGTCAGAAACCTGCTCTGTGGGACAGCTCACGGAGTTCCCTCCCTCTTAAACAATAAAGTCCTTTGGTCTCTGAGGCCAACAAACAAGCTATAACTTCACTGGCACTTTTGCCAATTAGATTAATTATGGACTCCCTTCGACATGGTTTCCAACTGTTTTTGCACTTAGACACAAGCCCCTAGACCATAAAGTATGCCTGTCATTTTACATATCAGCACATTCAGTAATAAGCTTGATAATTAAAATAAATATATTTCTGGTATTGAATATAATACTCCAGTACCTACTTTTCACTCTTGGACTTTCTCAATTTCTCAGCAGTATTGTGTACATTTTTTAAACCAATTCCTTATTCTTTGAAACTTTTATTTCTAGAATCCCCCCACCCCACACTCCACCCTCAAAAATGTGCTTATAAACACATTTAATGACTTAAATTTAACAGGTACTTTTCAGTTCTTATTTAATTGATGGCCTTGAGAGATTTCAGTACATACAACCATCCCATTTTCCTTTAATATCCAGCAGAAAGCAGAGCTAGTACAAAGACCCCAAGGAGAGAACACCCTTAGACGGACCCCTGGAGAACAGACAATTCTGTAAAGAAGACTGTCCTTCTTCTTGAATGCACACCAAGAGAGGCAGTGTGCACAGAGAACGAGCAGAAGAGTAACATGAGAGAACTGAGAGATGGGAAGGGGACAGCTCCTGCAGGGCCTGGTCAACAGGGTAAGACTTCCCAGTTTTATATTAAATTCAATAAGAATACATTAAGGTTTTATAACCTTCTCTATGGTTGACAGAGAAAGAATATATTATATAAGAGAAGGAGTGGAACTACGTTACCACTAGGGATGGTTGGAGTAACCCAGGGCACAAGTGATCATTCCTGGACTAAGATGATAGGGACGTGGGAGCAGTAGTGGGACTAGGGGTATATTTGATGAAAAAGGAATTATATTGGAAGTGGAGAGATAGGGAAGTGGAGAAACAAGATGAACATCTACATAATGATCTTAAGCAACTAGGTCATGCTAATGACATTGGCTGAAATAGGGAATATAGCAGTGGGGAAAAGTTAGGACCAAGAGAAAGAAGAAATTACACATTCTGCTTTGGAAAGCTGCAATTGAGTGAGTGGAGAGACCAAGTAGCAACTGAATAAGAGTTTGAGGTTAGGAGCAGAGATAAGCTGTGGCAGTGCATTTTTGGGAGTTGCTGGTGCATAGATCTCATTTTAAGCCATGAGCTGTAGTTCTAAGAAACAGTAATGAGTTTGATTTGAGACCTTAGAAGATCTAAAATCTAGACACTCAGCTGAAGAGTTGCAACCTCATTAGAAATAATAAGAATTAAATCAATGAGGTAAAGTGGCCATCAGGAGGCAAAATTCCTATGATTCTGAGAAGGAAAGAGAAGTCATCTACACTGAATGCTACTGAGACATCAAAAATAGTAAAATAAAGACAGGAAAGTTTCTTATTTTCTTACCACTTCTGAGAAGTGATGGGATTTAAAATCTAATTGAAATGAGTTCAGGTAAGTAGGAGATGTAAAACATACAAATGTGACAATTGACAATACTTTTGAAGATTCTGGATTTGGAGGGGAAGCAGCAGTAGTTACAGATAGAATTTAGGTTGAGGAAGATTTGTTCATGTGTTTTTGAAGGCATCAGACACTCAATCTCATAGGTGTATTGATGGGAATGGATCAAGAGATGGGGAGAAGTTGATAGTGAAGAGGAAGAGGCCATTACTGAACTGGTGAAGTCTTTGCCACAGTGAATGGGATTAGGACCTGAAGCTTTAGAAGAACTGAGCCAAAGATAAGGCCTAAGTCATTGATCCTGGGGCCCAAGTGGAGAGCATGTCCATGGATGAAAGTTGATGCATTTGAACAAAGGATGATGAGGAGTGCCCTGGATGACTGTTTCAACTTTCCACTGAAATTGGAGGCAAATGTTGAGAGGCTAGTGGGATACTATCAGTGTGGGTAGAACAGAGAATGTTAAGTATCATCTTTGAAGTAGGGAAAGTGCAGATGGTGGAAAGGCACAATTGAATTTGGGGACAGCGTGGGTTGGCCTTTAGGAATTTTTGGCAATAAATTCAAGACAGCAGCAAAATAACCGCATGCTGTTTTCCAGGCCTTTTCACTAGATCATTTCGGGCAAGGGGTAGTGAGGTAGTTGACTTTAACCATCCTTTTGTTTGCATGTGAGACTAACAAAGAAGTGTCAAGGGAGTTGAGTTTATTGAAAGCGAATGATTATAATGTTCAATCATTTTAATCTGGTTAAAAGATGTGTGATCATGAAGAGAGTGGAGAGCTATGAAAAACTGATAGAGAAAAAGATTGGACTTCCCTAGGAGGATGAGACATTATTGGAAAAGGAGCACTATAGGTTAAGAGCCATAGGATAAGAGACAATGGCCAGAGAATGTAATAATAAAATCTAAATCTCAATGTGGATAGCCATTGATGGTCAGTAGTATATGCATAAGCAGAGATGCGATAATACTTAGTAAGGTGTTTAGAAATGAGGAAGTTGGGGCCTGCATTCCTATATGGACGCTGGTTAGAATCCCTGCTGTTCCACTTTTGATTTAGCTCTCTGCTAACGGCCTCAGAAAACAGTGGAGATGGCCCAAGTGCCCTGCCCCCATGTGGGAGACCTGGAAGAAGCTCCTGACTCCTGGCTTTGGATTGGCCCATCTCCGGCTATTGTGGCCATCTGGGGAGTGAATCATCGGATGGAAGAACTCTCTGTCTCTCCCTCTCTCTGTAACTCTGCTTCTGAAATACATAAACGAATATTAAAAAAAAAAGAGAAATGAGGAACTCAATGAATTGGGAAGCCAAGACTGCTGATGTAACTACTAATGGTTTGAAGAGCAAGTCAAAGTCCTGCTGATGGTGATGCTGCAGTCTTTAGCAGCTGAGAGGCACTGACCAGAAGAACTGATAATAGAGGGTGTAATCACCTCATGGCACGAGTTTCAGAGTAGGAGAATGTTGAGAAGAAAGGCAATGGAGGACTGTTGACAATGACAACCGACAGCAAAGGGGTACAACCATTCCAAGAGAAAAAGATGCTGAAAGAGAAACACATGGTGGCAAATTGATAGGTAAACTGGTGGTTTTGATTACACTGCGGGTACAAGCAAATTTGTTGATGATGGGCTCCAAATTCTAACAGGTACTAGGGAAGCATTTTGCAGCAGAGGGTTGAAGGGGCCATGTTGGTACAGAGTAGTAACAGGATAAAGGCTCAGAAGACTGGGATTCTGAGAAGAGAAAAATCCAATCGGAATCCTATGGGGACACCAGGACACAAATCTCACAGTGGTGCCCCATGATGTGGCAGAAAAGAGGAGTCAGTGTCTTTTCCAGGATTTTTTTCTTGGTGGAGGTGGTGCTCCAAGGTGAGCAACACCCTCTTTCTTCCCTGGCTCCGATATTTACACTGACGGAAGCCACTCTTCCTTTAATGAATGGCCACTCTTTTCTTTTGCCTGAGTACACACTTTCACAGCACCTTCTCCAGGACGCTGAAATTTCTTCCTAATGAGAGTTTTTGCACTGGAGTATAAGCTGCAGGAAGGCAGTGACCTTGAACTCTTCTCTTCACTCTCCTCTGTCAGGAACATAAAGTGATACCTGCAAGGCACTCAATTACTTTGTGCCAACAGACTGACTTCACAAGTAGTCTGCCTGGTGTTGACGAATTTTAGAAAAGACTATGACCCTAAACCACAGAGAAATCCATACTGGACCCCTCAAGTGGCACCTTACTCACATGTAGGCACTGAGCACATGACACGATAAGTCTAACTGCATTTCTTCATCTGAATAAAGGATCATCATAGCATCCATTAATAGCTTGTTGGAGGATTAAACATCAGTATATGTGAATTATAACCGACAAAATGACAGCAGAAGAAATGACTCATATGACTGAAGCCTGACCTCTCTCCTTCCTGACTAAGGAAATGCAGATTAATACAACGTAACCAGGACTGCATTAGCAATTCATTGGAATGCCTGAGTATCAGTTTGTGCTTCTATATGATTAATTCAATCTCCCTGGTATTTTTTTTCCATATAAATTGCTGGCAGTACTGGTTTAAAAAATGTGTTTTTTAAAAATTTGCCTTTGAAACACAATTGGAACACACATATTAAATAATCATTCAACATTCATTTTGTAGATTTATCACTGCTCATCTCCTGATATGAAAATATAAAATTTCCCTGACAGCAGCGTGCAGGGGTGGGACAGACACAGAGAATTAGCGAGTCACCTGCACATGTGATGTAAGCTTCCTCCTTCGGTGAGCATGACCTCCGTTTCCAAGGGTCGGAAGGACACTGCCAGAGAGAGGTGTCAGTTCTCCGACACTGGATTCCATCCACCCATTGGGGTCTAGACCCTTCCCGGGCAGCAACCGAGTAGTCCAGAGTGCCGCTGTTCCCGCAACCCAGCTGTCTGCAGATCACAGACAAGGTCACGGCTTCCATGGGGCTTCGGCAGACACTGCCCCAGGTGTGGTTGTAGAGAACCTCCAGCCACCCAGCACACTCCTGTTCCTCGCTCACCAGCCTGAGGGCCAGGAACTCTGAAATTGAAAGGAGAGAAACAGGGCCCAGTGAGCACCCACTCTCAACACATCGGGGGTGTGCCTTTGTTCCGTGCTATGTCAAAGCTTGTCAACACTCATGGCCGACTCCTCTGTATGTCAATGATGAATTTTTTCTCCTTTTATCGGATTTTGCCAAATTTTGCCTGTCTTCCTATTTCCAGCACAGCAACACAGTGGGATATAAACAGACTTGAGTACTCTGTGGGTTGGAAAATCTGAATCCTTTCTCCTCCTGACTAAACTTTGGAAAGTCTACATGAAACAGAGTGTGGAGAGAAATGTGGACACAATCCTGGGGCCAGGTATCCAGCTGCTTCCTAATCCTATGAACCTGTAACTTTGCAACTTCTAACTTCGCAACTTATATTGCAAAGGAATTTTTCAGGCATAACTAAGGATTCCAGGATGATGCGATTATCTTGGTCCAACCAACTCGATTTAACATGAATCTAACATACAGGGTCTCAAGATTTGGCTACCCCAGGTAACTGAGGCACCTGCTTCCAAATGGTAAAGTCTAGACAATGGCTGTCAGGAGACATCGCTGGGCAGGAAGGGCCAGACAGCTCCTGATGCCCGCCCCTGACGATGGCCGCAGCTCTTTCGCTCTGCGTCTTTCCACGACTCCCCCTCCCACACCCCTCCCGCCTCCGCGTCAGACCTGAGCAGACGACCCCCGCGTCCTCCTTGTGCCTGCAGTTGTGCCGCCCCCAGCCCCCGGAAGGGCACTTCCACACGTGGGACTCATTTCCGGTGCAGTTGACGTTGTCCAGCCAGATGAGCCCTGATCCCTCCCCGAAGTGAGCAGAGGCGGTGACTTGGACCGCCACTCCGCAGCCCAGCTGCCTGCACACCACGTGGGCATCGCTCAGGTCCCAGTCGTCGTCGCAGACGGTGCCCCAGGCGCCCTGGTGGAGGATCTCCACCCTGCCGGCACAGCGACTGCCGCCGCCCACCAGGCGGAGCTGTGGGCTCTCTGCAGAGAGAGTGATGTCAGTGGGGTCTTTATTCGGGGGAGGGGGAGGGTTTTCCTGTCCTGTGGACTGCCTCACCTGAGTGGTTGGCGGCCTTAGAGCCCACTGGATCAGACAAGGCGTCCGGGCGACGGGACAGCTGGGTCTGGTTTCCTGCAGAATGGGTTACAGAACAGGAAGTTGAATTACACCAAGCAGTAAGCTAGCAGTGGGATCTATGATGCAGGCTGTATCGTGGACGCAATGATTTCTCATCTTCAAAGCTAATTTTCTGCATGGAGATTTCTGCTTCTGACAATGTGAGACTTCTCTGTTTGAAGCAAAGCCAATCACCAAGAACAACTTTAAAGAAGTGAGGATTTATCAATCTTGTTCGAGAGCTTTGTACAGCTTCCAAGGCTGTGAGACTTTTTGTAGCTGAGCTCTTGGAAGTTAAGGACTGAGGTGAATCACCTTCGTCCCCTGGAGGGACTTGCCCGCGAAGGTAACAGCCCAGACTCTGAGATGCTCAGCGGAAGTTCTGTGAGACTGGGGCTGGGGCTGTTATTTTGAAGACAAGATGATGTCAGGATAGCTGCCCTGGATCTTCTTGCCCAACCACTATGAATGATGAGAAAATGACTAGAAGTTTTCAGAGTAAAGAAAACCCGAAGAAAAATAGATTATCAAAACTCCATGGGTAAAAGTGCCCAAATGATTATAAAAATGACATGAAATAGGATTTGACAGAATGAGTAGCTACTAAATTTTAATGAGTTACTGTGGCAGAAAAGGTGTTCAGGCTGTCCCAGTAATTATTTGGACTATAAATTCATTCCGTATATTCTAGCCTTAATTAATTTAAAATATTCACATAGTACTCAAATCCTTGGGAAAAATGTGAGGAGGATATAGCAAAATACTAACAATAAGGAATTTGAATAAAGGTTATTTGGGAATTCCTGTTGTTTAAAATTTTGGGGCCAGTGCTTTGGCGTAGTAGGCTAAACTTCCACCTGCAGCATCAGCATCCTATAAGTGTCTCAGCTGCTCCTCTTCCAATCCACCTTTAGCTATGGCCTAGGAAGGCAGTAGGAAGAAGTAGCTCAAGTGCGTGAGCCACTGCATCTGAGTGGGAGATCTGCAAGAAGCTCCAGGATCCTGGCTTCAGATTGGCCCAACTCTGGTAATTGAGGCCATTTGGGGAGTGAACCAGAGGATGGAAGACCTTTCTCTCTCTCTCTGCCTCTGTCTCTCTCTCTCTGTAATACTACCTCTCAAATAAATAAATGGAATCTTTAAAAAGAAAAAGAACATTTTCTGTAATTCTCAAATTATGAAAATACCTACCTCCAAAAAAGATGAAAGGAAATTAGAGAAAATTCACTCTCAGGACAGTTTCACTGAAAGAAATACTAATTACATCAAAACCACAAAATACATAGGAGAAAACCTAGTCAAAGATGTGTAAAACTTCTCAGATACACTAAAGATCTAAATTCATAGATAGATCAATTAAATGAATTGTATTGTCAGTCAATTACCTCCAAATTAGTATATGGATTAAATCCCATCTCAATCAAGATATGATACCATTATGTAATTTTTGGTTAAAAAATAGAAAACTTGTTCTAAAGTTTATATGGAAATACCAAGAATGACCAACACACTTGGTAAGAAAAGCAACAAAGTAGAGCAGGTCCTTTACAGTAACTCCTTTAAGGTGAAATTACATAGGCTTACCATAGTCTCAGGCACCCATGGAGTCTCTTTACGACAAAGGTAGCACTCCTCTGGGGAAGAGACTTTTCAGAAAGGATTCTGAATCAATTGAATATCTATATCATAATAGGAAACTATGCCCCATCTCACATCTTACACTCCCAGAGGGTTATATAATCATATTAAGAATAGCAATTAAAATTGCTTAAGAGATTTTGGAGAATATTTTTATGAGCTTGAAGAAGGCAAAGTCCTTTTTTTTTATTTGACAGGTAGAGTTGTAGACAGTGAAAGAGAGAGACAGGGTCTTCCCTCTGTTGGTTCACTCCCCAAAATGGCTGCTATGGCTGGTGCACTGCGCCGATCTGAAGCCAGGAGCCAGGTGCTTCTTCCTGGTCTCCCATGCGGGTGCAGGGACCCAAGCTCTTGGGCCATCTTCCACTGCCTTCCTGGGCCACAGCAGAGAGCTGGACTGGAAGAGGAGCAACCGGGACTAGAACCCAGCGCCCATATGGGATGCTGGCGCCTCAGGCGGAGGATTAACCAAGTGAACCACAGCGCCGGCCCAGCAAAGTTCTTTTAAAAAGGATATAAGAACACTACCTATATAGGATAAAGTTGGTGAGTTGTGGTTGATTAAAATTCCATTTTATTGAAACTCATTACATAAATCATACAATTGTATGTCTGCTGAACTTTTAAAATAAAAGATTAAGAGCTCAACTCATCAAGGAACACCATTCCATTAATGGAGTGAAAAGAGGGTTAAAGGTTAAAGAAACAAGACAAATTCATACTTATTGGACAGAAATCATTGCCATGGTAATTTGTAGTATCATTATTAGTTTTAGTGTCATTATCTGTCAAGAACTGGAAACAGCTCAATTCTGCACCATTTGTTGAGTAGAGCAACACATGTCGTGTGATCATTCAATGGAATATTATACAAGAATAAAGAAAGAATGAGGTCTTGCTATGAATAAAACATGAATGAATCCCAACATTAATGTTTAGTCAAAGACAAAAAAGAGAATATACTATGTGATTTTTATATAAAGGTCAATATTTGACAAGATTTTGGGCATAGTGATTGGCGGGAGGAGTAGGTGACTTGGGTCCTGCTCATGATCACTTTGTTGATCTGAACTGGGGTACTTGACAGAGGTGTACACTCATGGCTTAGACATTACTCTCTATGGATAGCAATTAAATAATGACATTTATTAAAAACTATTCACCTTAACACTTGTTGACCTGACTGGAAAGATGAATGAATAATTCACTGTAGAATGTCTCCTTTTTGAATTCAGTTTTCCACACTCTGCCCTTGGAAACATCTCACTCAAGGTGTGTCCTGAGTGACACTAGCCCTCACCTCTCTCTCTTACCTGAGCAGATCACAGAGGCTGTGTTTCCGTGGGCGCAGTCAGGATTGCCCAGGGCCGTCACAGGGCAATTCCACAAGAAGGACTCAGTCCCTGAGCAATGGAATTGGTCTTTCAAGATTTTATCACCTCTTTCCACAAAGTACGCTCCTTTTGGTGTTGAAATGGCGACTCCACAGCCAAGCTGATGACAAACAACATTGGCATTGGCCATACTCCAGTGGGAGGCACACAGCGCTGTCCAGTCTCCAGAGATATTCACCTCCACTTGTCCCTCACAGTGAGAGGTACCATTTTTCAGGAGCCGGACATCAGTGTACCCTGGTAGGAGAAGAAAAGAGTTCAGCAACATCTTGTTGTTTTTCTTCTCCCAACAGAGTGTGCAGGGAGGTGAAAGTCCTTCCACGAGTCTCACCTGAACAGACAACTTGCACAGCTCTGTTACGACAATGGCCTCCAGGACAGGATACTCTGGGACAGAACCAGAGTCCAGGCTCATCCCCCTCACATTGGAACTCTTCAGCCCAGACCTGACTTTCAGCGTCTCTGAAGGCCACGTCCCCCAGGACAGATACAGCCTTGCCACACCCCAGATCCACACAGATGACCTGGGCAGTGGGGAGCGTTATGTTTCCACTAGAAACTGGAGTCCAGTGTCCTTCAGAATTCACTTCCACTTGCCCAGAGCAAGGTCCACCTCCTCCAATCAGATGCACAAATCCTAAGGAGGAAAAAAATAAATTCAGTGAGTGTTCATGGTCCTGGCTGGCAATTTGGAAACAGCATGTCACAGACAACGGTGTGAAAGCTTTGCTTTTCCAAGGGATGGAGTATGGGGAAATGATTCAATAGCTGGTGTCAAAATCAAACTTGAATAACCAAGTTTCTGAAGACAAATTCAGAAAGAATTTACAGAGTTAGAATAGCTAGATCCAAGAAAACTATATATACATTCTTTTTTAAAAATTAACTTATATATGCAATGCTTTCATAAGTATATATTCTCTTATGTATTAAAAGAACATCAGGGCTGGTGCTATGGCTCAGCGAGTTAAAGCCCTGGCCTAAAGTGCCAGCATCCCATATGGGTGCCAGTTCTAGTCCCAGCTGCTCCTCTTCCGATCCAGCTCTCTGCTATGGCCTGGGAAAGCAGTAGAAGATGGCCCAAGTCCTTGGGTCTCTGCACCCATGTGGGAAACCCGGAAGAAGCTCCTGGCTTCGGATCGGCACAGTTCCAGCTGTTGCGGCCATCTGGTGAGTGAACCAGAGAATGTAAGACTTCTCTCTCTGTCTCTACCTCTCTCTATAATTCTGTCTTTCAAATAAATAAAATAAATATTTAAAAAAGGATGTTAATTATCTATGTCCATTTATAAGTTCTATACCTATCCACTGAATGTGAACTCAATGAAGGCAAATTTATACTTATCTTATTTTTGCTATTTTATACCCAGAGGCCATGTAAGTTAACACTTGTTAATGAATGGAAAAAATGAATATAAAAATCTCACAATTTATATTTACTTCCTATTTAGCTATAGGAAAAAAATGGGGGTAGAAACCAAGTTATAATGATCAAAGTAATTAAGGTTCTTTACATCATACTTCCCATTACAGAATACAGAATAAAAATTTAGAAGCTGAATCAGATGTAATTGAGGTTTAAGCATGTTGATCAACTTTTTTTTTTGAAGTCTTATGTTGTTATCATTAAATAGAACTTGAAGACACTATGAGAAAATAAGTGAAAAAGATGAAGTTATTTTAAATGTAGGTTCAGAGATTTGGAGATGCATCTGAAAAATAGATATGGATTTGTCTTTCTCCAATAAATAGGGATTGCCTTTCTCAAAAGGAAAGCACATTCCGTAAATTTTTGTTTTCAAAGTAAACCTTCAAGATGTGGAAGAACAGCAAGAACCTTAATCTATTATATTAAAACAGTTACTTCAGACATTTTAATTAGACACTCCTATTTCTCTTGTTCCCTGATGCATCAACATGTAGTCTGTATTCTTAAAGTGTTTCTACAAGGTCATGTGGATTTATATTATAATTAGATTGGAATGATGATAATGCCCCTTACCTGGGAAGCTAGAACGCACAGTTCTTTGATACAAAAATTCCAAACTGAAAAAGCTGATCTTTCAAGGCTTTAAGAATATGAGATCTGTATTGATATAAGAATCAGCCACTGAATCATTGGCCAGGATTCTATATAATAATGATCATCCTCCCCACCCCCAGCCAGAACAGAAACTGGGGTGGCTATGGGCTCTGTGGGTGAACACAGCCATGTTTCATTCCTTATGTACTCCAGTGTCCACTCCATTCCATATCCACATGACAGGTTAGAACTGGCACCATCATTGAGGGCCACCATCATTGAGGGCCAGGTCCTCTGGCTTGATTAGGTTACCAAACTTGCTTTCATCTAAGTGTTTTCTTTCATTTTTAAAATTGTGAGCAGTACGTTTCTAGCTTTCAAGAAGACTGGTAGTGTGGAATAGCACTATCTGTGTTCTCTGTTGGAGAGAATCTACTGGAATATCTAGTTGCAGTGCCCTCCAGTTGAACTGTTATAATGGTATTGAAGTCTTAAATACCTATATCCAACAAAATACAGAACATATAAAGGAGCTTTTGCATAGTCTCTATGGATGAAAATGGGAAGAATTTCTGAGAAAGAAATAGATCATGCAATGCAGTTCTTAAATTCACAGATCAATGCTGCCTGAGAAGGCAGAGATGAGCAACACTGACATAGTGAATGTTCTTGGGACACTGGCCGAGTGTCAGGCAGTGTGTTGGACAGAAATCCTGGTGTGGCCTGAGCAGCAGCATTGCTGTCACCTCAGGAACTCTTCCACTGATCTTGAAAACTATTGAGCATTTTATATGTTCTAGGTACTGCATTATGAAATAGACTTGGAATGGATTTTTTTTAAATACATAATTTAGGAATGTCCCAGCTTGACACAGAGGCAATCTCTATTCTTCCTGTGGATGGAAGAGTCTGTTGCATGCAATGAAGCATAAACAGTACAAAGTCTGGGAGTGATTCTGGTTCTGGTGACATTGTTCTACAAACCAAGACCACCTGATTCCACAAGATGAGCTTTATCATGATCTACCTAGGTCTTCAGTGAAAAAGGTTATCTTGATATTATAGTTTTTTTTTGTTTTAAAAAATATTTTTAGTACGATGTCTAGTGTTTTGTTTGCTTTCTGTTGCTATAAAAAACCTGAAGTTGCAGAATGTACAAAGAAGAGAGGTTTACTTAGCTTAGAGTTACAGAGGCTCAATAGCATATGTACTGTTTCAGCAAGAGCATCTCTGGCTGCATCACAGCATGATGGAGAAACAGAAAGGAAATACACGCAGAAGGGAGCAAGTGCATGGGACGGCCTTGCTTTGTAACAGCTTACTCTTGTGAGAACTAATTCACTCAGAGAAATTAGCATTAATCTCTTCCATGTTGGTGTTCTCATGACCTAATGACTGCTCACTAGACCCCACCTCTTAAAGGATCTACCGTCTCTCAATGTCATCACACTGGAGACCAAATTTCTAGCACATGAAACTTCGGGACACTTAAACCATAGCACAGTTGTTTATAGGAATCAAGAGACAAAATATTTTTCCTATATCTTCTCCTTTCCCAGATGGCTGAAGTAAATAATGTTGACACTGGGGCTGGCGTTGTGGCAAATAGGGTAAAGCCACAGCCTGCAACGCCAACATCCCATATGGGCACAGATTTGAGTACCGGCTCCTCCACTTTTTCTTCTTCTTCTTTTTTTAAAAATATTTTATTTACTTTATTTGAGAGTTAGAGTAACAGACAGTGAGAGGGAGAGACAGAGAGAAAGGTCTTCCTTCCGTTGGTTCACTCTCCAAATGGCTGCAACAGCTGGAGCTGTGCCGATCTGAAGCCAGGAGCCAGGCACTTCTTCCCAGTCTCCCACTTGGGTGCAGAGGCCCAGGACTTGGACCATCTTCTACTACTTTTCCAGGCCATAACAGAGAGCTGGATCAGAAGAGGAGTAGCTGGAACTAGAACTGGTGCCTATATGGGATGCTGATGCAGCAGGTGGAGGATTAACCTACTGCACCACGACACCAGTCCCCGACTCCTCTCTTTCTGACCCCACTTCCTGTTAATGGCTTGGGAAAAGCAGCAGAAGATGGCCCAAGTAATTGGGCCCCTGCATCCAACATGGGAGACCTGGATGAAGCTCCTGTCTTCTGGCTTTGGCCTGACCCAACCTTGGCCACCTGGGGAGTGAACCAGCATATAGAAGATCTCTTTCTGTCTGACTCTCCCTCTGTGTAACTCTGACTTTCAAGTAAGTAAATAAATAAATCTTTAAAAAAAGTCAGCCCTTTACTATTTGTTATGATGCCTGTGTTTGCTTATGCAAGAATATGAGGGGACTACAAAAAGTTCATGGAAACATGCAATGAAGACATAATGCACATTTTACATGAACCTTTTGAAGCCTGCTAATATATTCATGAATAGTTCCATTTTATACTTATTTTTCTGCACTATTTACAATCACAGATTATAGAAGTCCTGATGTTTGAAAAATATGTTTGCTTCATCTAGGACTCTACTATATGATCACAAATTTATCTATACTTTGATCAAGGCAGCCCTTTTTTCCTTCTAGAATCCTGGAGAATGGAATATATATCATAGTTTGAGGTTAATCTGAAAGCCATAATTTGGTCATGCTGTGCCTGGATTGGCCATTTATGGTGGTCTGCTGAAACAATTGGCATATGTCCTCTCTGGGTATAAGCAGTGTTTTAACAGATGTTGCTTCCCTGAGTTTTTTTTTTAAACTTTTATTTAATGAATATAAATTTCCAAAGTGCAGCTTATGGATTACAATGGCTTCCTCCCCATAACTTCCCTCCCACCTGCAACCCTCCCAACTCCCGCTCCCTCTCCCCTTCCATTCACATCAAGATTCATTTTCGTTTCTCTTTATATACAGAAGATCAGTTTAGCATATATTAAGTAAAGATTTCAACAGTTTGCACCCACATAGAAAAACAAAGTGAAAAATACTGTTTGAGTACTAGTTATAGCATTAAATCACAATGTACAGCACATTAAGGACAGAGATCCTACATGAGGAATAAGTGCACAGTGACTCCTGTTGTTGACTTAACAAATTGACACTCTTGTTTATGGCATCAGTAATCACCCTAGGCTCTTGTCATGAGTTGCCAAGGCTATGGAAGCCTCTTGAGTTCCCCAAATCTGATCATATTTAGGCAAGGTCATAGTCAGAATGGAAGTTCTCTCCTCCCTTCAGAGAAAGGTACCTCCTTCTTCGATGACCTGTTCTTTCCACTGGGATCTCACTTGCAGAGATCTTTCATTTAGGTCATTTTTTTTTTTTCCAGAGTGTCTTGGCTTTCCATGCCTGAAATACTCTCATAGGCTTTTCAGCTGGATCCACATGCCTTAAGGGCTAATTCTGAGGCCAGAGTGCTGTTTAGAACATCTGCCATTCTATGAGTCTGCTGTGTATCTCACTTCCCATGTTGGATCGTTCTCTCCCTTTTTATTCTATCAGCTAGTATTTGCAGACACTAGTCTTGTTATGTGATCCCTTTGGTTCTTAGTCCTATCATTATGATCAATTGTGAACAGAAATTGATCACTGGGACTAGTGAGATGGCATTGGTACATGCCACCTTGATGCTTCCCTGAGTTTTAAGACATAATGCAAGGGTACCTGAAAAAGCTCACTGAAGTCGCAGTGGGTTAATCTGCCCCTTGGGATGCCCACATCCATACAAGAGTGCCTGGGATTGAGTTTCACTTCTGTTTGACATCCAGATTCCCGTTAATGAGCACCCTGGGAGGCAACAGATAATGGTTCAAGTATCTGGGTCGGTTATACTCATGTTGGAGACTCAGATTGAGTTCTGGGCTTCTTCTGCCTGGTCCAATTCTGGCTGTTGTGGGCAACTGGGGAGTGAACTAGCAGATGGAATAGCTCCCTCTGTCAATTTCTTTGCTTTTCAAATAAATAAATAAATAAACAAATAAAACTTAAAAGAGGCTGTTTTAGAGACTACTTTTTATAAAAGCTTATGGAAAATGGAATAAAAAATAAGTATGTTGGTGCCAAAAATTCGGAAATCTGTCCATATAAGAGATCTTAAAAAAGTTTATGGAAAATGCATATTATGTAAAAACTCTACATGGATTCCTATTTTTTTCACCCAAATAAACATATTTTACTTCCAATTTCCACAAACTTCTTGAAGTACCCTCGTATTATGAAAACTCACTGTCTGAGAGGCTTTTGTTGAGATATAAAATGTTAAATGTAATATACAATGCTGGGTATGTTAGCAAGGATTATTTTTGTTTTAAGAATATTTTTATTTATTTGAAAATCAGAGTTACAACAAGAGCTGGAGAGAGAGAGAGAGGAGAGAGGAGAGAGTAGAGAGGAGAGAGGGGAGAGAGAGAGAGAGAGAGAGATTTTTTTTCTACTGGTTCATTCCCCCAATGGCCCTAATGACCAGGGCTGGTCAGGCTAGAGCCAGAGGCCAGGAACCTCATCTGGGTTTCCCACATGGGTGGAGAGACCCAAGCACCCTGACCATCCTCTGCTGCCTTCCCAGGCACACTAGCATGGAGCCAGATCAGAAGTGGAGCAGCTGGACCCCGAACATGCACCCATATTGGATGCTGGTGCTGCAGACTGTGGTTCAACTTGTTATACTGCAGTGCTAGCCCCAACAAGGACTCTTATTTACAAATGACAGAAATGTAACTCAAATAGATTTGATTCACAAGGCTTGTGCAGCTTCAGGAAAGGATGAACTTCCAAAGGGAAAGCCTAAGGAGTGGGAACCAAATGCTTCTGGAATTTCCCCTGCACATTTTTTTTAATGGCTACTCCTTTCCATTTGCCTTTGTTCTTTAGAAAGGCTCTTTCCATGCAGCTGAGACTGCAGATGTGGGAATGTTGCTTTCATTCACAAGAAGAGAACTGATTTTGGGCAAGGACTCCTATTGTCCCCATCTGCTTTAGGGGCTTACCACAGTGACCAGTGAGAGTGGATTAGTATGAATGTGCACATATCTAGACACAGTGCACATCATGAGAGGTGACTCCCCAAATGAAGATAAAATTGCATGGATCTACTCAGTCTATGAAAACAAATTTAACAGGAACTATATGGAATCTATATAAATGCAACTGTAATATTTCTTTAAAGATTTTCAAAGATCTTACTTTTACAATGGAGAGATTAATTTTTTCAGTTTTATTTAACAGATGTTAAAATTTTCAGTTTATTTAATAAAATACAGACCAGCATCCAAATTATTATTAATTTTATTTCATTTTCCATGGAATTTAAAATTGTACCAGGAAAAATAAATGTTTAAATTGTCTCTCACTGAAGATTGATGTGAAGAGATATATATGAGATATTAAATATATTAAAAAAGGATTATGTTCTTATGTAGTAATAGACTGAGAATGGAATAGAGCTGAATATAAATGTAGACAAAAGACACATAGTAATTTAGTATTAAAAAAAGAGTGCTTTAAATCATTAGGACAAATAAATGTTTATGTTTATGGTGTTGGAGAGTTTAGGGATGGATTTAAAAATAATAAATTAGTTCCACCCCCAGTCTGGTGTCCATCAGGCCACCAGTGGTGATCCTGACTGCTGAGGATGGTTGGCTGTTAAATGACACTGCTTCTCCCGCCTCACTTGCCCCTGGAGACGGAGGCACAGCCCCTGTGATGAGACAGGGTGGGGAAGTGGGTAGTGAATGCAGATCCACCTGGGAGGATGCAGTGGACATTCCTGTGCCAGACGGATGGGAAGCAGCAGGCTCAGCTGATTGTGGAAGATTCCCACGGAAGCAGCACTTCATTGACAGACCTCAGCCTGGTCCAGCAGTGGAGGGAGCTCCTGTCTCTCACCAGGGATCGTCTTTGTCAGAGAGTGAGGCATCTCAGGACTCATCTGACAACGTGGCTCCTCACAGAAGGCCCCAGGCTCTCAGTACGTGACTCTCGTCTGACAGATGTTTGAAAAACCTGTTTCTTGAAGATACACCCTGAGGTTTCTGCTGTCACTTCCATGTCAGACTAGTGGTCAAGAGATAAGCAGACACATCAGGTGCAGAAATGCACACAGAGAAAAGAAAATCACATTTATATTTTGAAAAACCTGGGTCTCCCATGCAGATGGCAGGGATCCAAGTACTTGAGCTATCCTCTGTTGCCTCCCAAGGTGTATGTTAACAAGAATCTGGATTGGAAGTGGAGTAGGCACGTGTTGTGGGTATCCCAAGTGGTGACTTAATTAACTGTTGTGCTAAATGTCCACCCCATCAAGCTCTAGGTCCTTGTTTTACGTGTGAAGACAGAATCTGGGGAGAGCAAGTGACGCCAGAACTGTGAGACAATAATGTATTCTTTTACCCCCCACAATGCATTTCTAAATCACAGGTTAATGAAAGGATTTCTGTTACATCACACAAGTGAACGACTTTAATAAATATGAAAAAGTAGAGCCATGTTAGATGACAGCTGAAAATTTTAGATTAGTAGGAAAGTCATAAAATTTGTCTTCCTTACAATCAACTCTGACATTTTGCTCAGGCAAGAGAGAAAGTAAGCACGATCAGGTTGCTTTTCACCACTGTTCATCTATTTCACACCTTTATTTCTTCCCCTATAACTAAGATTTCCTCTATCCTGCCGGAAGCTGTGACTCACATGTATCCATCCAACTAGCTTTCAGCGTCCTGACCACGTACCTCACCTCTGTATCCGTCTGGTTCCTCATCCATCACTCCAGGCTTCCATTGTGCTGTTTGCAACAGAGCATTTTGTTGCCCAAGGTTCTGGAAATGTCTCCTTTAGATGTGCTATTTGGCCACTCAGAGATCCACAAAGACCAAGGTATCTTCCTTGAAGACCAAACTTGCACTCTACCCTTGGGCTTCCCACTCACCTTTGAAAACCAAGAGATGGTCTGCACGACCTTCCCATCGAGGTACAGCAAGGGGCAAAGAGAGAGATCCCTGGAGGGCCAGAAGCAGGCAAAAGTAGCCTCTGATTGGGAAATGATGAAAAAGGGATGACAGGAGGCTTCAAAGGCACACACCTGAACTTTCAGCTTTGTAGACGGAGACAGATATTTGAAGGTGATATTGAGCATCTACTTCTGGGTTGTTTTAATCAAACTACGGACATCTTTTCAGAGTTTCAGAGTTGAAAACTCCAGGAGTTTTTGTAGGGGCTGGGGGTATAAATCACAAGAAACAGGGTTCTTGTTTTTCTGGGACCCTGCTTCTAGTGGAGAGATAAACAAATAGACAGTTTTAAGCCATTTGAAAAGTATATGAGACCACTAGGATGCTCTCTTCACCATTCTGACCTCTAAATACTTCACCTTGATCCAGTTTTATAATTTTTCTTAAAAAGATTTTATTTATTTGAAAGGTAGAGTTACAGAGAGGGAGAGGGAGAGGGAGACAAAGTCGTTCATTTGCTGGTTCACTTCCCAAATGGCTGCAGTGGTTGGAGCTGGGCCATTCAAAAGCCAGGAGCCAGGGCCGTCATACAGGTCTCCCACGTGGGTGCAGGGGACGAAGCACTTGGGCCATCTTCTACTGCTTTCCCAGGTGCACTAGCAGGGAGCTGGATTGGAAGTGGAGCATCTGGGATTTGAAGCAGTATCTCTATGGGATGCCAGCACTGCAGATGGCAGCTTAATTTGATACGCCATAGCAGTGGCCCTCCAGTTATTTTTTAAAAGATTTATTTATTTATTTGAAAAGCAGAGTTACAGAGAGGCAGAGGCAGAGAGAAATAGAGGTCGAGAGAGAGGACTTCCATCCGCGGGTTCATTCACAAGATGACTGCAACGGCCGGAGCTAAGCTGATCCAAAGCCAGGAGCCAGAAGCTTTTTCTGGGTCTCCCATACAGGTGCAGGCTCCCAGGGACTTGGGCCACCTTCTAATGCTTTCCAGGATATAGCAGAGAGTTGGATCAGAAGAGGAGCAGCTGGGACTTGAACCAGCACCCACAAGGGATGCCAGCACTGCAGGCGGCGGCTTTACCTGCTATGCCCAGCGTCAACCCCTCCAATCGTTTTTTTTTTTTTTTTGACAGGTAGAGTTATAGACAGTGAGAGAGAGACAGAGAGAAAGGTCTTCCTTCCGTTGGTTAACTCCACTAATGGCCGCCACGGCTGGCGCTGCGCCAATCCAAAGCCAGGAGCCCGGTACTTCCTCCCGGTCTCCCATGCGGGTGCAGAGACCCAAGCACTTGGGCCATCCTCCGGTGCCTTCCCGGGCCACAGTAGAGAGCTGGACTGGAAGAGGAGCAACCAGGACTAGTACCTGGTGCCCCAACTGGAACTAGAACCCAGGGTGCCGGCACCGCAGGTGGAGGATTAGCCAAGTGAGCCACTGTGCTGGCCCCCTCCAGTCTTAGAATTTATTGATCTCCTTTCCTACAACTAGCTGTACAGAATTTACATAAATGAACACATGGCATTGTTCACACCACACCTGGATTCTTAGTGGATCCTCTCAATCTTACAAATACCCTCTCTATGCACTTCTCTTGTATCACTGATGCCATCAGGTATAAACTGTATGAGTGTAATATCTTACCATGATACATACACATTAATATTTTGTTGTATTCAGCAGTAACCTGTCAGCAGGTAGCTAAGTGTCCCTCTAAAAATTGAGTTTATGTAGATACAGCTTTGAAAGCAAAATATACAGAAAATATTTTCTAGGAATGATAGAAGGAAAACCCAAGACTGAGAGCATTTTATACACAATTCTCTGATCCTTTCAGCCAAAGAGCTATGGATACATATATCTGAATCTGCAAACAAGACTTGTAGTTTTGTAGAAATCCACCTATATTCTCTCACTCTATATAGAAACAATTCAACCAAGGAAATTACTGTGTCTTTCTTGGCTCCTCCTCTGACAGGTGCACTGTCATAAGAGGAGTGTGTGTGGTGATTTGCAGATGTTTCACTCCTACGAAAAGTAAATAAAACCCCCCAAATAATGAAATTTGCTTTGGATTAGGATATTACCAGAATATCCTATCTTGTCAGGTAAGACCACCAGTAAAGGATAGAAAAACAGTTGATACTTATAAGAGTGAATTAAATGAAGTCCATAATCCGTAGCTACTTTGAGCACTCAGAGTCTCTGGGTAGATCTCTCAGTCTTCTCCATGTCATCCATCTTCTATTCCCCTGGAAATGAGACACCAACTTGCCTGGAAACTTCCTTTCTCCCAGCTAGTGGACAATACATTGACCGTACCTGAGCAGATGACTCCTGCATCATTCCAGTGAGTGCAGTAGTGCTTCCCCCAGCCTCGGGAGGAGCACTTCCACACATGAGACTCATATCCTGTGCAACCGAGATTATCCAGCCAGATGGGCCCTGTTCCCTTTCCAAAGTGAGCAGCATACATGGCTTCAAGGGCTACTCCACAGCCCAATTGTCTGCACACCACTTGGGCATCCTTCCAGTCCCAGTTGTAACCACAGACGGTTCCCCAGGTACCCCGGTAAAGGATCTCCACTCTTCCAGAACAGCGACTATTCCCTTCCATCAGGCGGAGCTGTGGGCTCTCTGAGGAGAGAGAATCATGTCAGTGGTTGCATTTAAACAGAGAATGAGAAGGATTTCCTGATCCTTTAAACCAAGCAGTGGGTAGCACTCTACTTTCAGGCTGTAGCACCTGCTGGATCAGACATGAAGTCATTGTACCAGGGCAACAGTTGGGTCTGCTTTCCAACAGAAGTAATGGTGGCCAGAGGATTAGTAAGGCTGACAAGAAAGTTGTGAAATTAAACTGAAAATAATGTAGTGAGTATTCTCAAATAGAAGCAATTACATAGGTTCTATCAGAGTTAACCTGCTGATTTGAAGAATTCTGCTTAAATTGAGAAAAGTATACTGGAAATATCAGAATCCCTACCCTGTGTACTTGACCATATCTTTTACTCAAAGAATTCTAAGAATCATTGTAATGAGTCAGCAGCCATTGATTTTTTTTAATATAAATATGACACGTTTCCATGTCATTGACCTGGGAGTTAGAAGAATTAGAGTACAGGAGATGAAGCTCATCAGAAGCCTCAGGTGGTAGCCATGAATCCAGGACCAACCAGAATTGTTATTCTTGGTATAGTCATTCAGAGATGAAGAAAAATCTTCGGAAATTTCTCAGACAAAAAAATAAAAAAAAATGAACAGGAAATTAGAAAAATTAAAAACAGTGTTGGAGATTTATGGGATACTATCAAATGACCCAACACGTGTTTCTTAGGAATTCCTGAAAGTGTTAAAAAAAAGAATGGATTAGAAGGCATATTTAGTGAAATAATTACAGAAAACTTCCCCAATTTGGAGAAAGAAAGGTACGTCCAAGAACAGGAAGCACATAGAACTCCAAAAAGACATGAACAGAAAAGATCATTACCATGACTCATTGTAGTCAAACTGTCAACAGTAAAACATAAAGAAAATTTCTCAAATGTGCATGAGAAAAACACCAGACTACTTTCAGAGGATTTCCAGCTAGACTCACAGCTGACTTCTCATCAGAAACTCTGTAGGCTAGGAGAGAAATAGGAGAGACATAATTGAAGTCTTTTTTTTTTTGACAGGCAGAGTTAGACAGTAAGAGAGAGAGAGACAGAGAGAAAGGTGTTCCTTCTGTTGGTTCACCCTCCAAGTGACCGCTATGGCTGGAGTTGCGCTGATCTGGAGCCAGGAGGCAGGTGCTCCTTCCTGGTCTCCCATGCGGGTGCAGGGGCCCAAGCGCTTGGTCCATCCTCCACTGCCTTCCCGGGCCACAGCAGAGAGCTGGACTGGAAGAGGAGCAACTGGGACTAGAACCCGGTGCCCATATGGGATGCTGGTGCCGCAAGCAGAGGATTAACCAAGTGAACCATGGCGCCGGCCCTGACATCATTGAAGTCTTAAGAGAAAAAAACTGTCAACCCAGAATACTGTTCCCTGCAAAGCTCTCATTTATGAATGTAGGTGAAGTAAAGACCTTCCATAACAAACAGAAATTGAAAGAATTTGTCACCATTCATCCACCCTTACAAAAGATGCTTAAGGATGTGCTACACACAGAAACACAGAAATATGGTCATCCCTTTGAAAGAAGGTGAAGGCAGAAAATCTCACAGTAAAAGGAAATCCAATGGAGATTCAAAGTAAAAATAGGAATATCTATGGAAAAATGGCAGGGCCAATGTTACTTATCATCGCCTTGAATGTAAATGGCCCCAAATATCAAGTTAAAAGATACAGACTGGTGGAATGGATTAAAAAATAAAACCCATTATTTGCTGCCTACAAGAAACACATCTCACCAACAAAGATACACACAGACTGAAAGTAAAAGGATGGAAAAAGATATTCCATGTTAACAGAAACCAAAAAAGAGCTGGTGTAGCCACCTTAATATCAGACAAAATAGACTTTAACAGAGACAGAGACAAAGAAGGGCACTAGGTAATGATTAAGGGATCAATTCAACAGGGAGATATGACTATTGAAAACATAAATACACCTAATTACAGTCACCTGGCTATTTAAAAGAAATGTTAATGGATCTAAAGGGAGACATAGAATCCAATACAATAGAAATGAGGGACTTCAATACTCCACTTTCAGCAATGGACAGTTCAACCAGGCAGAAAATCATCAAGGAAACAACAGAGTTAATCAACACTATAGACCAAATGGACCTAATGGATATCTACAGAACTTCTCATCCTATAGATGCAGATACACATTTTTCTCACTAGTGCATGGAACTTTCTATAGGACAAATCACATGCAAGGCCATAAAGCAAGTCTTAGCAAATTCAGAAAAATCAAAATTATACCATGCATTTTCTCTGACCACAATGGAATAAAGTTGGAAATCAGCAACTCAAGAATCTCTAGAACATATGTAAACACATGGAGGCTGAACAACATGCTCCTGAAAGAACAGTGAAGAAATCAAAAGAGAAATACAAAAATTTATGGAAACAAATGAAGATGACAACACAACATATCAAAACTTATGGGATAGAACAAAAACAGTGTTAAGAGGGAAGTTTACAGAAATGTATCTCAAGGACCTAGAAAAACAACAAGAAACCAGACCCAAATCTAGTAGAATAGAGTAGCTAACATAAGAGAAGAAATAGACAAAATTGAAACAAAATAATGGAAAAGATTAGTGAAATGAAAAGCTGGTATCCAACTCCATTGCTTGTTTTCTTAGATGCTTCTTTAATTAATGACAAAACTTGTTCCCAAAGACTTACTTTCTCTTAATGTATTAAGTGAAGGATACTCTTATGTCTTATAAGCTACAGTTATGTCTAAGTGCTCACAAAAGATGAATCACTCTTGGGTACTTATTTAAAGTTAATTAAATCTCTCTCTCAAAAAAGAAGTGAAATTAACTTTGAGATGCAATGACTTTGAATAGCCCCTGTCTTGACTGTTGAAAAAGTTTCATTATTCTTATTTTGCTTTTTTTCTTTTATCACACAAATTGAGAACCCTTTACTTACTATCAACTTAATCTTCTGTGCATAAAGTTAATTGAAAATAGATTTTAGTATAAAATAAGACTGGAACTAGGAGAGGGAGGAAGAAGAGGAGTGGGAGGGTGGGCACAGCGGGAAAAATCAATATATTCCTAAAACTGTACTTAAGAAATGCATGAGGGGCTGGCGCTGTGGCACAGCGGGTTAGGGCCCTGGCCTGAAGTGCCAGCATCCCATATGTGGACACTGGTTCAAGTCCCAGCTGCTCCACTTCCAATCCAGCTCTCTGCTATGGCCTAGGAAAGCAGTGGAAGATGACCCAAGTCTTTGGGCCCCTGCACCCACGTGGGAGACCTGGAAGAAGCTCCTGGCTCCCGGCTTCAGATCAGCTCAACTCCAGCCATTGCAGCCATTTGGGGAGTGAACCAGCAGATGGAAGACCTCTCTCTTTAACTCTGTTTTTCAAGTAAATAAAAATAATCTTAAAAAAAAAAGAAATGCATGAAGTTTGTATTCATTTAATAAAAGATAAAAAAAGCTTCTAAATATCTTAAAAAAGAGAAATGGGCAAAAAGTGCTCAGGATCACTAGCCATTATAGAAATGTAAATCAAAATCACAATGAGGTTGTGGGAATGTTGTATTATTTTGTACCGAGGTAGCCATAAATATTGTCTTCACTGAGTTATAGCATCTTTCTGACAACATACCCTTCTTCCTCACTTTATGATCAATGTCAGATCATAAATGATCAAATTTATGATCAAATAAATTCCTATTTTTAAGGAACAATAATATGTATGTGTCTATTTAATATCTACATATGAAGTGAACATAGCAAATTGTTAAAAATTATTAAGTCTTAAAATAAAAATTCTCTGAAAAAGAAGTAAAATAGGAACATACTGTAGAAACAAAAAAGCACCAGAATAAGAATGAATTAAAATCCAAATAGGTAAATTGAAAGAAATAATAAAGAATTTATTGAGATCAGTGCAATAGAAAACAAACAATATGGAGAGCAATGAAAGAGAAAGCTGGCTTTCAGGACGGTCAGTGAAACAGACAAACATCCAAATAGACCAAATTAAAGGAGAGAAGACACTGATTGTCAGTATCACATATGAGGAAGGGCATCACTCCATTTTATACAAATATTAAAAAGATGACAAGTGGATGCCATAATCAACTTTTTATCTACCTATCAGGTAGCTTACACGAAGTAGATAAATTCTAGGAAAGATATAATTAAATGAAATTTGGACAATATGTTATAAAAAGTCACTATTACCATATATTTACTAAAAATTGAATTTATAATGAAATCACTCCTGCAAAGAATCTCCAGTTCAGATGCCCTTTATGGGGAATTATTTCACGTATTTAAGGAAGAAATGATATCAATTCTAGGTATTTGTTTCCAGAAAATAGGAAATGGAAGCACTTTATAATTATTTCAAGAAGCCAATATTACCCTAATGTCAAAATCAATGCATTACCAAAAAAAAAAACAACTAAAAGCAATATTTTTCATGAACAGAAACAGAAAAATCCTTAGCAAAGCAAAATAAGTTATGTTCAGTAATAAATGAATAAAACAATGCATTAGGACCAAATGTGGTTGATCCCATTAAAACAATGCTTATTATTATTTTTTAAAAATATCTATGAATGTAATTCACCATGTTAGTAGAAGAAAAAAGCATATGATTGTATTAATGGAGGCAGAAAATGCTTTAGACAAACTATAATATTCCCTTGTATTAAAAATTCTCAGGGAACTGTGAATAGAAGGAAATATCCTTAAAATATGTACTTAAGAATTCTATTCAGCATTATATTAGAGGTGCTATATAAAGTAATAAAAGAAGTAAAAAGTACATATTTTATAAAATAAGAAGTAAAACTTTGTTTTCAGACAATATTAGTGTGTATGTGAAAATGAATCAAGGATTTCATGAAAAGGATTTCATGTAAGATACAAGGTCAATATAACAATAAAGTTACGTCATATTCTGCCAACTGACCATTGAATTTTATAGTAAAATGAAGATACAAGATCAATGTA